ACCTTTTTTGGAGGGTGGCTACTTTTATCCCTATGCTATCTGTTAAGTAGCCATCACTCCACGCACATTCTTGTGGTACAATACAGATTAACTACAATCTCATTTAGTTTAGCAAAGGAGCAAGTTTTGAGTGGTAGCTACTTTAAACACGTGGGGACCATTGGAAACAAATGTAGCCACCATTCAGATAGAGGGACCATGTCAGCAAAAATTCAGATTTGAGGATTTATAGCCAAATGATGCACAAGTTACATTTGTGTTTATCGGTTACCTTTTTTTTAATGCATTCACGTACCTTTTTAAGGAGAACTATGAGGTGAGTGCTTTTCACTCACCTCATAGTTCTAGCTGACCTGTGAGCGAATACATACCGGCGTTCGCTCACCTCTTGATCCTGTCACAGCTCTCTGCCGTGATGGGAGGGGCTGGATTCCCCCCTCCCTCATCCGCCAGCGCTGATTGTCGGGGAGGGGGCGGGTACAGCTGGCTCTGCCTCTAGATGGGCAGAGCCAGCTGTCAGTCACACAACTGGGTGGATCCTGGCATAATTGTCGGGATCCGCTTCAGCGTCTCGGTATACTGAGCCTAGGGTGACGGGAGGACGCTGGTTTGTGTCCTCCCATTACCCTAAGGAGAACTATGGGGAAAAGCCTTAACACCATAGTTCTCTAACAGTTTTTTTTATTCAGTGTCCCTTTTTGTTTAGTTGGGTCAGATTGTATTTAGCTTCCTTATGGCTCAAATGGCCTTTCCAAAAAGTAAGCCGCTCATCTCTCCTGGTAATGGTAACCACAATCTTCTATAAAATGCAGCCGGACAATATTTATATTGAGGTGCTACTATAACTCGGGTGTCTATTTCAAATACAAAGCGCATGATGTAAATGTAAACATATGTGTATATATTCTCATTGCTTCAAAAGTTTACCATGTTGTATGATGGGAGAATTTAGTATTGTATGCCTCTTGCTGACTTTTTATGTCCATAACCTTATCCTTTTAGATTTGGAGCAAATGCCAAGGTAGTGCACTTCCTGGGTAAAGTGAAGCCATGGAACTATACATATGACAGTAAAACAAAGACTGTGAAAGGAGATGCTCATGACCAAACTCTAATTCACCCAGAATTTCTCCAGCTTTGGTGGGACATGTATTCTTCAAGAATCTTGCCTCTCCTTACAGAACACGGTGTGGTCAAAGATGTGTCAGTTGGCTTAAAAGCGGTAGGTTTTGCCTTTGGTTACATACTAGTTTAACTTTAAACTGGTGTTTAGTGAGTAATTTAGGTTTTTGAAGTCTAATGTTGATAAAGATACTGTCTCCTTTTGTCAGAGCTGTTGGGGGAACCCCCTCTATATTATAGCTATGGGCCTGGGCTAAGAGCAAGATATCGAGTCTCTATATGGACCGAATAGTCCCTGGGATGATGCATCAGTTCAGCTGAGCAGGGTGTTTCTTTCCCTTTGCCCCAGGGGGATCCCACTTGCTGGGGTGTCTCCATGCCTGGCCTTTTAGACAGACCAGTAATCTGGTCCATACATTGGACAATGCAAAGAGTACTACTCTCAGCTGCCTGGTATTGAAGACTGTATCTGTATCTAGCTCTCAACTGGTATTGTCCACCCTGTAGAGGTTTGTACACCTAGGTGATTCTCCTCTGCAAAACAGGCAGCAATTGCTGGAGGGATCTTTGTCCCTCTGGATTGTCAGTGGGCAGAACACGCTGGGTTTCTGATGAAGGTACCCCCATGTAGGGAGTATTTCATGAGGCCTATGTGGGACCTAATCTCCTGGCCCTTTACTGCCAACATTAGTCTTATTTAATGTCATTATGCTGTGACATTTCTAACTTGGATATTTTAGTGAGCATGGGTGTCTGTCTAGGGAACCACACTTTTTTTTTTTTTCTTCCCCAAGCCCCCCTCCTTTTTAAGTAATATTATAATCCTCTGTCTGGTGTCCCTCAAAGTATTTCTCCACTGTCTGCATTTTTATGTCTTTGGGTTTCCACTAGTGGTTTTTCAGCCTTATGGGGAGCACTTTGTCGTTTGCCTTTGCTTAACAATTGGTGTTCAGGTTTGTCGACATTGGCTAGACTGCAAGAACCCTTGGGCAGGGACTAGTGTGGGGGGAAAAAAACATGACTGAACAAATCTAAAATCTCTATCGCAGTGAAAAGTACAGCAATGGTGTGTAGCATGCATACTTTCAGGGATGTGGCATTGCTGCAGACTAACAATGCCCAGTATGGACAAATACTACTTTAGGTAAGTCCACACTTGCCTGCAAACTTGCAGCCAGCTTTATATCCAGCTGATCACTGAAAGATCTAGTACAGCAAGGAATAGGTGATGGCACCAATCCAGCACAAGTTGTGTAAACATTTGCTTTTTGTGCTTAGAATAGAGGTTATCATGAACCTTGTTAAAGACTCTGCATATACTATATTTACCCAATTTAACACCAGTGTCTATGCTGAATTGTTGCATCATACATTCCTTGTTGGGCTACGTTTCAGTATTCACAAACATCTAGAGTGACTTGATCGAAAAGGTAAATGTAGTTGGAGTCCTACAATTGCCTAGTGACAATGGACCAGCATAATTGTGAGTGCTGATGCATATCCTCTGACCTCTAGCATGCTCTAGGGGTCCCTGGCATGCATTTAAACTTGTGGGTCACTATGTTGGAAGGTGAGGTTATTGAACTGTATTGGTAATTGAAAGGAACTGTCACCGATTGCTGCCCAAACATTGCTTTGGTAAATCTCTTTACATCGGCTCAAACCAATACCTAGGGAGAAGACTGACTTTGTACCTTTTTATAGGTTTGGGGGTGGGTGTTGTATTCAGCATACATCTTATCCTGAAATATGGCAGCTGACCTTTCCTCCCAAAAATACTAGTTATCTGCAGGTCTTGACCCAATGGCTTTAGAAAATTTGTAACCTTAACCTGAAACCTGTGGAAAGCTTTTTTTTTTTTTTTTTTTTTTTTTTTTTTTGGTTAAACTCAGGCGTTAAATCGTAAACTGCATTAAAGGATCTTTATAACAAACATGCACCTGATTTGTGTATTGCTCATCTGTAGATCCTCATCACTTCTGAATTTTTGCTGACACTGTCTGGGGTGACTACTTTTTTGTTCCCCCATGGTCCCTGTTTTGTTAAGTAGCCACCGCTCCAAGCTCTCCCATGATGGGACTACAATCTCACTTTTAGTTAATTTATAGGGATACACCGATACTATGTGCAAATACTCCTGATGCCTAGCAATACTGAAACTTCAGTATCCGGAAGCCAGGTGGCTACCTGATCGTAGCCACCTGGCTTCCTGATGGTCGGGAAGCTGGCTCCATGCTTTGTCGCCTAATGAGGTAGCATGGGGACTGCTTCTCGCTAATCAGGGAAGCCAGACAGCGAGTCACTACACGCCGTCCGGCTTCCTTAATGGGACTTCAGCATCGCTATTAAGTAAAACAAAAAAAAAAATCTGTACTCTAATGAGACACCAGTATCAGTGCAGCCCTACTAACTTGTATCGAAGTTGGTTTACCACAGAAGTGAGCTTGGGAGTGGTGGCTACGTTACAACACACAGGGACCATGGGGAACAAGCAGCATGAGGACATTGTCGGCACCAATTCAGATTTGACAATTCACAGCCAAGTGATGCACAAATGAGATGAGTTTTTGTTAATAGTTAAGGTCCTTGAACGCATTTAAGATTTAAAATCCTGATCTTGTACCCTCTCCTAACCCCCTGTCCCCAATAGCATAAGTGAGAAGTTGCCTCTAAGGCTATCTAACCTATGCCTGGCTGGTTACTGCACAATTAGTCTTTCATCTTGGATAGTATAGGCGGCTCTGCTGGCATTGCACCTGATTGTTCCAGTTTTCATACAGTGCAGGGATTGTGTTGGTTAGTCTGGAGTCACCTCAAAACTTTGCCCACATCTCTCCCATTCACAAAACACCGAGCAGGATCTCCTTGTAATGTCACAAAATGCTTGTTCTGTTTGGTCAGTGGACAATGTTTGTGACTGGATGAGGAGAGGAAGGGAGACTACACAGTCCCTACACTGTACTAGTTCAGAAATCGGCGGCCAGCTGAGCATAGCATAGTCTGTAGGAGGGAACTTATTTCACTTGTGACTCTTGCAAACGTTTTCTTTGTAGTTCCACTTTAAAAATGTCGTCATTGTTAGCGCTTGTATTTCACTTGTGACAGGCTTGCTTCATCAATGAGGTTAAGACTCGGTTTGTCATGGCAGGTTTACATTAAAGTGCTAGTTGCCTGGCTGTCCATGGTTCATACCACAATTCCATGTTAGGCATTGAGAAGTAACGGAACAGGAAAAGGCTAGAAAATAGTCTTACTTGTCTGTGGGTTTTAGCGACGTCCAGAATATTGTATGAATCTTGTTCCTCTATTGGCTATAGAAATGCATCGATCTGGGTGCACAATACTGCTTCTCTTGCATGTGAATTCTAATTCTATAAAGGAATAAATGGACACTGTATTGCATGAGCACTTTCCTTTCTTGCAGCAGAGGCCTCCTGAATAGGTTATCGCATATCCTCAACCTTTTCCCTTTTGTTTAACTTTCTATAACTGTTCACAGCTGTCGGGCTTGGTCTGTTCACTGGCTTTCTCTTGTCGCTTCTGTAGAGAGGTATGAACTTGCTGTTGTCAAACTATATGCAATCTGCAAATGCCATTGCAGTTTTGTTTTTGTTTTTCCACTTGGGTTTCTTTTAATTTACTTGGTTTTGCTACTTCTGTGTTCAGTTCTGCTTTGCCTGCTTCGTTGCATGGAAGCTATCCATTAGTTTCCTCATTTTCTTTTCTCATTTCTTAAGAGCTTGGTAGCCTATAGTAAAAACTGTCATTTGTTTATAGGAGGAAGTTACAGAAGCCGTGTCACAGATGTGCATAGCATCTCCACCACCTCCTCCACCACCATCTATATCCTCAGAAGAACGCAGAGAGCGATGGGAACAGGGTCAGGTTGACTACATGGGAGCCGATTCGTATGATAACATCCAAAAGAAGCTAGATACTTATCTCCAATAGAATTCTACTGTCCTGCACAAAACCTCAATGAACTTTTCAAGACCTGTTCTGCATCTAGAACAGTCTTCTACCATAATGTTTACTAAACTGCTAGGAGCTTTACTAAATTTCCTCTGGTGGACATGTCCACTTTTGTGTGGGAAATGGAAAAATAGGCATCTTTTTTTGTTCTACACCCAGTTCTGTGCCATTTATCAACTTGGACTAGCCAAGTGACCTGTTCACTGGTTTAGGTAACAAACAACCTGTAAGTAGCACTTAACCAAGTTTAACTACGTCCCAAAGGATGTGGCTATTGATGAACTATTGATGCTCTCGCTCCCACTGTTCAAGTTTCCAGCTCTTGGACTGTAATGGCCATGTAAGCTCTTCGGTTTCCCTATCAGCAGGGTGCCTGAAAAGTTGTCCTTTTCCCTCCCAAGTGTTTATGAACAAGCAGTTTGTCACTACACTGGAGAAATGTGGCAATATTGTGCAATAGAAATTATGTGTATGCTGTAAACATCTTGAAATGCTGCTTCTTCTATACCCTAGAGGGCTAATGTATTTTTTCAAAACAACTGTAATAAGGCACTTAAAATAAACTGGTTATGGTCAGTGTTGGTTTTTTGTAATTGCGAAGGTCCTTTTACTAAAAGGCGCAAACTAGCTTGGTGGTGTCAGTGCAATGCATATTCACACGCATTTCCAATAAGACTGTGTTTGTGTGTGTGTTTGTTTGTGTGTGTTTGTTTGTGTGTGTGTTTGTGTGTGTGTTTGTGTGTGTTTGTTTGTGTGTGTGTGTGTGTTTGTGTGCAAAGCCAGGTTGGTTAACGTTCCTTTGAAATAAAGAACATAAGAATGTCTGACTTACTCAAATGACTCCCGAGTACCACAGGTTGAGGCAATGTTTTAGCAGCATTATAGATCGCTGCTTTCCCACTTTGTAGCTGATATGGGACAGGATTTTCTATCTGGGCGGTGGCTGTTTACAGACAAATGAAGGGTCACCGTACCTGTCGCAATCTGACCACACTCAAACGAGCACTACGAGTGATCCAATGGCAACATAGTCGCTGGACGGCTTGTACCTCAACAGCTATCGGCTGCTGCAGCCACGTTCTTGGTATCGGTGTATTCTTGGTATCGGTGTATTCTTGGTATCGGTGTATTCTTGGTATCGGTGTATTCTTGGTATCGGTGTATTCTTGGCTGCAGGAAGTGGTTAAACACAGTTGCTGAAAGCTTACTGTACACACTGCTTATGCAAGCTGAAGCCTATATAAACCAGGCTTTACAGTGCTGTAACACAATGGCTGATCTCGTGTGGTTATCCTTAAACCATGTGCCACTTGCACACTTTCCATACTTGGCCATTACATCTTTGAATGCTGAAGTCCTGATGCTCAATTTGCAGCAGTAGTGACTCCCTACGCACTTGGTGAGGTCTATTTATTTTCAGAGCTATATACAGCACTTAAAGTTGACCTCAGCTTTACAATGACAATCTACAAATGCATACTTCTACATAATTGCAGGTTTTGTATTCTTTGCATATCATTGGCGTCTGACAGTGGCCATGTTTTTACTAAGGCCAAATGTAAAGGTCTGCTTTAACCAGTTGACATCTGAGGTGTTAAACCCCCTTCCCATCCAGGCCATTTTTCAGTATTCAGCGCTGCGGTACTTTGACTGACATTTATTCCGTCATGCAGCGCTGTACTGAAATGAATTTTATACCCTTTTTTGGGGACACAGAGCTTTATTTTGGTGGTATTTATTCACCACTGGTTTTATTTTTTTATATATTAGGGAAAAACTACAGTTTAAAAAAAAAAAAACAGTTCCCCTTATATTAAAGTCAAACATTTATTGCCAAATTTTTTGGTAAAATATAAAAGACGGGGTCACGTCAGGTAAAGAGACACCAAACATGTCAAGCCTTAAAATTGCGCGAAACCTCAAAACGACATTACCCAAAATTGACCATAGGCGACGCATTAAAAGCTTTTACCGCTCATCAGTTTAGTGTTATCAGTGATCGATGGCCCAAAAATGATTGCTCTCACTGCGACGTTCGCGACGATACGTGACATGTGTAACGCAATTGTCATTTTTGCGCGCTGGCGCATGCAATGCATATTTACGTTTATATGTGTGTAAACGAAGGGGGGGGGGACTTAAACATTGGGGGGGTTTACTTTTTATTTGACTTTTTTTTACTTTTTTTTTTATTTATAAAAATTTTTTAACACTTATTGTTATTGCATAGGGGGATACCATCCCCCTATATAATAGCACAGGTACACTGACAGGTCCTCTTTATGGAGACATTGGGGGTCTCTGGACCCCTAATGTCACCTGGAGACCCCAAAAGAAGCTGAAGCACAGATTTGCTTCATCAGCTTCTCTCTGGCAGTAGGAGCCAGATGACTGACAGGTGAATGCGGAAGTGATGTGATACACACCACTTCTGCATTCACATCCCGGAGAGAGGTCGGCAAGGAGCTGACTCCCTCCCGAGCTGGTCCCGGGCCGCCGATGGGCTAGCGGATCCCGGGATTAAAGGTGAGGGGTCAGGAGGGAGGAGATGGCGGCACCCGAGATGTGGGGGGGGCTCCGAAATTCACGCCATACAACCGATCGGTTGTATGTGAAACAGCCGTAAAAACGAGCGGGTCTTTCCTGCCTGTGCGCGCGCAGGAAAAAATGCCGTCTGGCGACGGCAACCCGCGGATGCGAGACTGCTGACCGGTTTTTCTTAACGGGTGGATGGCAAGAGGTTAAACATTTACTAGAGCTGCACTGAAATGGACATTTCAAAAACTAAACCTAAATCAAAAAATGGTCAGGCTGAAACTAATACGTTTTTTAAATTAAATATTAAAACCATAAACTTGTATTTACTTAGGGGCTTCAGGGAAAATATGGGTCTAAACAGACTAATGATATTTTTCTTCTTTAAAATAGAAAGAGGACCCCATGGCTATCTTTTTCTGTATCCCCAGGAATCCTGTTCTTGTTATGAATGAACAGAATGTTTACTACAACTATGAATGAACAAGAGGTGATGTAGATCACTTCCCATTTCATTCGTAATTGAGGATATAGTACACATACCATGTCTATCTACAAAAAGTGGTTACTGATCGCTAAATGTCTGCACTCTCTCTCCTCTCTGACATGCTGTCACAAGAGGCGGAGGAGAGCTCAGCCTCCTATGACAGCGCGGCCTGTCTCTGCCCACGCACCGCTATGCCAAACTGTGATAGGAGGCTGAGCGGTGTGGGAAGAGACTCACAGCGCTCTCCTCCTGCAGGGCTCTGCCAGCTGGGACACAGCAGCACCCAGCGGGGAGGAAAGAGCAGGGATACGCTGATGTATCAGCAGAAAAATGGCACTTTCGGCTGATATATCGGTGCATCCCTAATTTACGCTTGCCCACTACATTCTACCTAACTTTCTTTTTAAGCTTGTGTGTGGTTTTTGTTTTTTTTCTCTTTCTTGCAGTTTGGACCATATTTGATCAGACTACAGTGAAATTCTGGTTCATGGCATACATGGGAATCCTTTTGAGTGCATATGAATTGTGCGGGCTGCTTTTCTAAAACTATGATTATATGGGGTGGGGTGG